TAGGATGCATATTAAAAGCCACAGCCTGCTACATAGAAGCCATGCAGACATGCGTATAGTAATGTACTTTAGTTGATAGGCATGCAACCCCATATTCAGTTTGGAAGTTAAGATGCCATGCTGGTCCACAACAGTAATGTTAACAAAAGCTACAAAGATGGTTGGCCCAGACTGTGGCATTGATTTGCATAAGACTTACATACATGTCGACGGGCCAGTTTCATAAACAATGTTATTTTCACTTATATAGTTGAATGAAATACGGTACACCACATGCAAAGACATGGCTGTAAGCTATCATATATGGCGGTATGCTGACACCGCATCTTCTGGACTCAGTGCGGTGATATTTCTAACCTTCGTGGCACGAGTACATTGGTTATCATTTTTCGTTGTTATCAACATAGTTGATACTTCGAGTTCGACGGTTACGGCAAACATGCTTCCAAGGAAAAAGGTCTGGTATATGGATGACGGAAACCATTGACATAAGAATTCATCTGGAACTGAGTGCAGTGCATTTACAAGTCTTATACCACCCTTCTGTTTCAAAAGCGATTTTCGTCCCAAAAACATGCGAAAATGCTGTAAATATGGGGGCCCGAGAGCGTCCCACCCTCTAGGTTTTAGGGTGTAGGGTTTTGGGTTTAGTGTTTAGGGTCTAGGGGTTTTGGGTTTAGTGTTTAGGGGTTTGGGGTTTAGTGTTTAGGTGTTCAGTCTTGGCAGGTTGCGAGTACTACAGCTGCATCAAGTGCTTCGAGAAGCCCGCAGCGTCCGCCAAGAGTTCCACCAAAGGGGGGATGAGCTTTGACGACGATTGGGGCGAAGAGGAGGAACCACCAAAGGAGGTGACAAAGGCGGACATGGATCGAATGGCCCGTGAAATGGGGATGAAGCTGACAGGAGACGAGCCCCAGAGCAACGTGTCGACGTCCAACAAGACCGACAGCCCGCAAAAGGCCTAAAGCGTTAAAGCCGAAAGCCACGAAACCTGCAACCTTAACCCAAATCCCCGACCCCTATCAACGGCCCTAAACCTGAAGCCCTTAAACCCTCAACCCAAAAAGCCCAAAACCTCAAAAGCCCCCTTTGGCCCTAAGCCCTAAAGCCCTGAACCCCCAAACCCTCACACCCTCAATCCTTAAAGTCTTAAGCCCCAAATGCCTAAGCCCTTACCCCCTAAAACCTCAACCCGCAACCCCTACACCCTAAAAAAGGCTGTCTCGGCGGCATCGCTTGGCTCCGGCTACAACTCGAATGTGTCACCCGAGGCATCGCCTGGCAAGGCAAAGGCAGCAAAGAAACCCCTGGCTACTGGGCCTCCTGCAGAGCGCTTTAGGGTATTCTATTGAGGGTTTAGGGTATTTTAGGGTTTAGGGTATTTTAGGGTTTAAGGTATTTTAGGGTTTGGGGTATGTTAGGTTTTATGGTATTTTCGGGTTTAGGGTTTGGGGTTCAGGGTATTTTAGGGTTTAGGTTTTCGTGTTTAGTGTGTTCTAGACCCAAAGCATGAATATTCTACAAAATGCTCATTTTTGGTTCGAAGCAGCTAACAGGCTGATCCGGACGACTTCTTCAGTGAGTTTGGCATGTAGGAAGCTTTCCGGATTTGCACTACGGTGACCCGGAGTGCACAGATTGCACATGACACTTTTCCAGCAGTCGTCGGAGCAATTCCGACAGGACATCAAGTTGGAGAGAGATGCTGTATTGTTGAGAGCTGTGCAGTTTTCATGTTCTAATGACCCAGACTTCTCCAAACAAAGTTAAGCTTGGTGGTAGACTATCCTTGAATTTGCCGCGTACCATACTGTAACTTTTTGGGCTTCTGTAATCCCGAGATATCCCGGAAGGTGAACTTTCTGTCCTCGTAGACAACTAACTAGACAGGTAAGTGAGAGGCGAGTCTTCATCTGATCTCCAGCTACCAGAGACGATCTGCCAAACATCTCCGCAGGCATGCTGCTCACCAGACACACTCCGGAGCGCAGAGACCCAGGGAGCCGCATATTCCTTAATTAAGGAATATACCCTAACCTATTCGGGCCTTAGTGTTACGGTTTAAGGTATATTCCTTAATTAAGGGGGTATTGGGCTCCCTGGGGACATATAGGGCAGCTGCTGATCCCAACCTGAACGAGCCCACCCCATATTGTAAATGCTGCCCGAAGCGGCACTGCATGCGCAATGCCTGATGTCTGGAATAAAGCTGGCTGCCTGGCTTGGGGATGGTGCTTGGAGGATCATGGGACGCAGTGTGGAAGGTTACAAGTTTATGCGTACCTTTCAGTAATTGGGCCTAAACCCTAAACCCTGGGCGTTACATGTACTTATCAGTATAGTTATCAGTATAGTGTATAACTATAACCCCAGTAAGTAAGTCCCATGATCCTTGAAGTAGGTGTACGATTCAGGAGCTGTGAGCATTCCGGCTTAAACCCTCGGCTTGCCTATTAACCTCGGCTCGACTGCAGCTGCGGTTCTTATAAATGTAGGAGCCTTAAAGATTACTTATACGATTTTGAGGGTTCCTTATTTTATATAATTATAGTATACTGGGCCCCAAAGCCCTTGTCTAATCATTAAGGCCCCTACAGTATGCTCATCCCTGTCAGTTCTGGCCAGAAAGTTGAGGTGCGGGTGCTCACAGCCCGTACAGATCTAGACGGGGGGGGCTTGAAGTGTTTCGACTGAAAAACAGCAGCCATCATTCTCTGCACGCTTTTCCCCAAATTAAAACTCTAAAACCTACAAGAAACCTTAATGGGATACAGCAGCTTGACCCTGAACCTCAAACAGAGATTACCACTCCGTGTTCACATGCAAGCCATCCTCTCAATCGCCCAGTGGCTGTGACCAGAGCGCCACAGCTGTTGGAGGTTCGCACGCCTGCAGAAAAAAGCGCAGTCCGAGATGAGTTTCCCAGAGACTCCAATACCCCTTAATTAAGGAGTATACCTCAAATCTTTTTTGGGGGATCCTACTATAATTTAAGGTATATTCCTTAATTTAGGGGTATTGGAGTCTCTGGGTTCGAGTCTTCGGTTATAAATTTTCTCGCAGCCACGGACGATGGTCGTGGTTTGCTTCTGCTGCCACGACGAGGAGTGCAGCTGCCACCGGCATCGCATCGTTGTCGCATCGTTGTGGCATACATGTTGTGGCTGCATGCTCTCCCGCGTTTTCTTGCTACTAGCAGAACTCTCCTCGTGGGCAGCTTGTCCCACTCACACCAGAGTCCACAGAGAAACGAGTTGCCCAAACGAGGTCAGGAGACATTGGGCCCGGACCACCAGGGCACGCTGGCATGCTTCAACAATTTGGCGTCACTGCTCCAGGAGCAGGGCAACACTGAGGAGGCACCCGAAGGTTCCCAGAGTCGTAAAGTTCTAGGTTGGGATGGATGTCCTTCTTTTTCGAGTCATGATGAGGCTTGAATGCCTTCGGTTTAGAGGATTTGGATCCCTCGTCTCGAACAGCTGTTTGTCCAGAGTGTCGCTGGTTGGCTGCAGTCCTTGGGTGTCCATGACGTCATCAAACTAACATAGGGGCCTTAATAATTGCCTATATTATTTTGGGGCTTCCTTATCATAATTATAGTATAATGGCCCCAAAACCCTATTCCAAATTCCAATTATTAAGACCCCGATATTATGCTAAGTTGGTGCAGCATCATCCCAAACTGGAACGGATCCCGAACAGCGACCAGGATAGTGATAAGGAGTCCCCCTGTAGCTTCTGGTAGTGGTGTACATTCCACTGCTTCCGGCAACATGATCTTTACAAATTTCTGGTCTGACCTGGAAAGACTGCACTCTCACCTACCCAACGCCCCTGCTTTCAGGTGTCATGCTTGTAGAGCATTAAGTCTTTGCAACATGGACATGTTTCGGACTTCCAGTCTTTCGCGGCGTTAAGAGTATCCACTGCCAGCTTGTGTCTAGTATGTATTTAGGATTTGATAAACTCAATTTCCAACTTGATGGGGCCCTTGGGAGTAGAGAGTACGTAGAGACCCACCCTGGAATCCCGAAACTCTAACGCCTAGAGAATCCCTACAGCGGGAGGCTCGGAGACTCTTAAGCCGCGCGCCCTCAAGACTAAACCCTAAACTTACCATGATATGGAGTATCTCAAACTCGGCCTAGCGCATCGTTCAGCATTGCAGGAGGCAAGTAAAACCCTAAACGATTCGGGTTCATAACTTCCCAAAGCGTGCTAAGTACCTCCGTAAGGGATATGTACCCAAACCATAATAGTAAATCCTAAAACAGAAACCTTACGTTCTACTATGTCGGTGCTTAGGGCACGTTGGTCAGGAACGAAACAAGCACTGTGTGCTATGGCCTAATTTGGCTGGGACGAGTCGTAGGTAGAAACGCCTGTGACACAGCTTTAGCTAGTACTGTCTGACTTTGGGAAATCCCCACTTTGTCTGATAGTTGTGTTTGTTTTGTTGATGCCCTTTGTTCAATAGGGATTCCTTAGACTTTTTGTACTTGGGAACCTATAGTAGGTACCGACCTGCCCCTTGATGTATACTATTGTGTTGTTAGACTGTGTCCATCTTGCGCCCTATGTACTTTTGGCACGTTATGATTGATCTGTTTAGATGGGGCCTGATTCGACAGAGATCGACGGTGAACACCTGTCGCTACCTTGTAGAGCCTCTGATCGCTGACTAAGGCGCTTGCTTTGTCTTGTTCATGGCTCGTTTGTAGCATGGCTTTCCTATGAGGTCTGCACTCTGCCTGTACCTACAGTCTCCTTTGTAGTTCCCTATTGGGGATACCTTATAAAATCCTTAATATATATTTGGTTAAACCCAAAAAAGGAACTACAATGGAGACTATAGGTATAGTCATGGTCAGAGGTTCATGTGCCGGTATCACGCCGACTCAAACCGGCGGAACCTCGCCTGGCTCTTCCGAGTTGTGAGAGCGTAAACCCCCAAACCCCGAAACCCTAAAGTGTTTACAGTAGGTACTTTCTTGGGTCCCTGTTTGGGTTTGCAAAGTTTGATGTTTCGATGCCGCAGAGGCTGAGGCGCTGTACAAGACGAGCCTGGAGCGGTGCTGGATGCCCAAGTATGGCTCTAGGGTTTAGGAGGGGTCCGAGGTGCACGGTTTTCGGGTTCTCGGCTTGTAGGGCTTATAACGTTGTAGAGGATTCAAGGTTGTACGGTTTGACTGCTTTCGGGTTTAGGGCATAGGGCTCTCTGGTTTGAGGGTTTAGGGTTCTGAAAGGTCCAAGGTGGTGTGATTCTTAAGGCGTAGGGTTTTCTTGTTTGGGGGTTTTGGGCTGTCGTGTTAGGCTTTAAACAGTTTTAGGGTCTAGGGCTGTAGGCTTTTAGGGTTTGAGGGTGTTGGGATGTGGGGTTTCAGTACTTGAGGGTATTAAGAGTCAGGATTACGGGTCAAGGCTTCTTTAAATCGGAGTCCCAAAGGTGTTTGTTCACTACGTGGGCCACTGGGATCCAAGAAATCTTCCTTTGCTGGGAAAAGATGTTCCTACAGTACTTTAGCCCATTCCACACAGTTTTTAAGTTGCAAGGCCAACCTAGTTTAAGGCCAGAGAGGGAACCAGTTGTAGGTATAGTATATAACCCCCAAACCAGATTCCAGCTGTTAAGGATTCATATGACTACGTAAGTTGCCTACTGGGTTGCATGTACTGTGGTAGTTCCGTTTCTGAGGGCAGTCAACCTGCATTTGAACCAACCATAGCCCACAGTTTCTGTAAGGGTTTATGTGAAGACCCTATGACAAGCCCCATATAGAAATAGGGTTTAGTCAGCCATGCCCCGCAATTTCTAAATGGGCTTCCATGAAGACCCCATGAAACAAGGCTTTTCCCAGTTAAAGTAGACGCTGACCCGAAGCCCCAAACCTTGCGTATTTTCAGCGGTGATCCAGACGAGGCCGGGTGATGTTGGGCGAGGATCATCCTCAAACGCTGGCCTGCGCGCACAATCTGGCAACGCTTCAGGACCGATTAGAATAGGAGCATGAGGGATTATGTTAGAATCGGGGTTTATAGGGTTGTATACAGGTTCTACATGGTGTTGCTGTAGGGGTTTACTACGTAGAATAGTGTGTTTTTTCAATAGGGTGTTGTAAGGCATTTATTTGGTTTCGTATCGGGGCCTTAATTGGAATGGGGTGTTGCAGGGCTTCATTGGGATTTAGAGAATGCTCAGTTTTATTGTCTTTATCGGTTTTAATCTAAGAATTGGAACAAGGGTTGGGGTTACACTATAGTACAACCTTATATCATCTGGGACCAGGGTTTTTTGGCAACAGGGAGTTTGAAGATGCATCTACCCACAACCTTCACCCCTGACTAGGGCTTGGCATGATTCGTAGAGGCTTGACATCAGTGGCATCAGTGGCCGTCGAAAAGGATATGACATGTTATAACTTGCAGGTGATGCACTTGAAATTGGGGTGCAGTATGTATGCAAAGATATTAAGTATCTAAATACAATATTGCCTTCTGCTAGCCTATCCGGCCTATCCCTAAATTGGCCCTCAACTCTAAGCCTTCAAACCCTAACCTCAAACCGATTTCGACATGCCCTGGTCCTGGAAGAAGGGAGCCCAGCCCTAGAGCTTCCATCAGCAGAGCATCCGTGTAGCACGATTCGAGTCGGCGGGTTTAGCGCTTATATTTCAAGGTTTCAACGCCAAGACCCACTAGCTGGAATTCTAAAGAACCGAAGTTAGCAGGACATTGGTGTGGAACTAAGTTGGAAATGACACGAATTACTTGGCAAGAGCGAGTGTGGGAGCATAGCCGGCATGATGTGCATAGCTATAGAAAACGCAATGTGGGAAAGAACGCAACATCAACTGAAGCTAATGGAGTAACATGAAAGCAGCGAACAACATATAAATATTGAAGTTCCATGAAACGGTGTAAGTTTTTGAACTCAAGCCCGGCATTTGTTTTTGCCAAGAGACTCAAAAGCTTCAAAGTTGTGGAAATGGGGACACTCTCGGAAGTGTATCACTTGATCTGACTGCGCAACCCAAAACCCTAACCCTAAACTGCATAGTCACAGACAGCATATTACCCTGCAATGCGGGCTCGTCCTTGCTAAATAGGAGGCAAAAAAACCCTAAACCCTCGGCCCTAAACCCAAAGCCCAAAACCCAAAACCCTAAACCCTAAGCCCTAAACCCTAAACCCTAAACCCTAAACCCTAAACCCTAAACCAAAGCCCTAAACCCGAAACCCAAAACCCTAAACCCTAAACCCTAAGCCCTAAACCCTACACCTTAAACCCTAAGCCCTAAGCCCTAAACCAAAGCCCTAAACCCGAAACCCAAAACCCTAAACCCTAAGCCCTAAACCCTAAACCTTAAACCCTAAGCCCTAAGCCCTAAACCCCAAGCTCCAAGAGTCGACATCCTCAAAGTCCGCGAAGATCGTTTCAAGCCTTAACATGAGCCTGTTTGCGATTTAGGGTTTAGGGTTTAGGACTTAGGGTTTAGGGTTCAGGGTTTAGGGTTTAGGGTCGGTTGCACAGCTGATTGGCAGAGTCTGGGTTCAAAAAAAGGGTCGGTTGCACAAGTCCTGCTGCAAAAAAGGGTGTAGAAGAAAAGCCAAATAGACATCGACTGCCAGCAGCGTAGGTTTAGTGGGAGTTGGCAAGAGGGAAGCCAAATTGAAATGAGGATTGCTAAGAACCTAGGCACGACTTGCACCATGAAGCCAAATAACCGCGGAGGGAGCAACTATTCCAATCAGGTGAAACAAGGTTAACACAGAGCAAGAACTGGTTCAACGTACTTGAAATGAAATTTGGACTGATTGAAAACTAATGCTAAAGCAACTCGGCATGGGTTGCGGCTAGGCATGGGCACGTTGGAATCCAAACCAATCGAAACCAGCTAAAAGTAAACCACAGATTCATGAAAAGTCAGTCAAGCCTTCTTTGTAGTCGCATCAGTTGAACCCCTGCTCAGATCGCATACCCCAGGCCCTAAACTGTGAAATGGGACGTGCCAGCCAAGCTGAATGTAAGGGCCTGAGTATTTAGAATAGGATTTGGGGGTATATGATACTATAGTTATAATAAGGAACCTCCAGAACAACATAGGTAATTATTCAGGCCCCTAGATTAACCCCAATCGCCAGCAGGCGAGATGATGACACGGCGCTCGGGCTGGGATGGGTTCATTGTTTAGGATTTGGGGTTTAGGATGTAGGATTTAGGGTTTAGGGTTTACCGGACAGGAGTTTTAGAAGGCTTTAGGGATTGGGGTGCAGGGCTTGTGTCAGGATAGGCGGTCTGCGCTTGATCAGGGTTTGGTGTCAGGCATATTGTGGCTTTCGTTCGCATTCCTTTTCACCGAATATGTATGCACATATGCGTCCTGTCGACGTCATTGGCAACAGGATCAAGGTCCCCCCAAAGCTCAAAATAATAAACCTTCCTCACTGTTCCCGGCTGTCTCTGACGACGCTAGCTTGGCAGCATGGGCGAATGCTTTTGTGTTTCGGCTTAGCAGGACCAGGGTTTAGGGGCTTAGGGCAGGTCTCACTGGGCAGGTCTCACTTCTCTTACCTTACCGCACTGCCTTGCTGCCAAAAGAAGGGCCAGGAGATGTCTTCAGCACCAGTGTTCGCAGACCATGGCCTCATCGCACAGCGGTCATTTCATGGTTTGCACGGCTCAGTAGAAGAATTATCCCTCACCCCTAAGCCCTGAACCCTAGTTCTTAAGTCTGTCGAAAGACTCTCAAGAGCCTCGATAGTTACAGGGTGGTTGACCCAAACTTCAAGGTCGTTCCATTTAATCGCTAGGCCCCGTAGACGGTCAGGACAGCACCCGCAGAGGTTGTAATGCCGACTTGCAGCCCACTTTGGTACGCTCAGGCCGATCAGTTTTCTTTGGGACTTGCATCTAGTTTAGCGTTTATGGTTTGAACCAGATCTTGTGTCAACCATCTGGTGCCCCGTAGGAAGAAGCAGGGACGGGCTGGTCCGTCTTCGCTGCGTACCAGTAGCAGTCTTCGGTGTTGATAATATTTCAAAGGGTTACCGGATCAATCATGCAAGATACTGTGCGAACCATGACAATACTACTACTGTGCATGCGAATGCCAGCAGCGGCCAGCAGATTTTTGAGCAGGGCTTGTTTCTGCTGAGCTCTGTCAGCTTAGAGGATTTTTCTCTTCCTTGCAAACAAGAATAAACGACTTGAGATTGCTTTGACTTCTTTGGCACAAGACTTCAGCTGGCGATAACTTGCCCTTGGAGCTCCCGGCCGTTCCTTACCCACCAACTTCACGATGCTGATCGCACCAGGCGGACCACGCGTTCACCCAGAGAACAGCTCAAGTTCCAGCAGTGATGACGAGAATAAAAAGTCCCCCACGCCGACCAGGTCTTGCTGCTTTTGGGTCCGCATGTGCCCGCTGCCCGCCTATCAAGTACATCCTTGCCTTCTTCAAGTGGCTCTTTCTTTCCAAAGCTGAATACGAAGTTCTCAAGCAAGCCAAAGATCTCTACAAGACGGTGAATGTTGAGACTGGATGTTGTTCCGACTTCCCGTACAAGCACTTGTCCAAGATGGAGAGAATGTACCTGCACAGTATTCTAAAAGACCAAGCAAGATGGGGCAGTGAGAAGAAGTTCATCAAAACATTCCAAGATCATATCGTGGCCATGCAGATGGAGGAAAGTGACGGTGGCGAGAAGGTGACAGAAGGAGAGTTCTGCAATGCCGTTCTCTATGCTGTCATCGAGTACATGAAGAAGATCGTTAAGAAGATGAGCAAGGAGATCAAGAAGGAGTAAAAGAGAGATGAAAAGATGGCTGGGGCTCCATAGCTAACACCGCAAGCCCTGGGGTCAAATTATCTTTGTAGTTGAACTGCAGCGAGCATGGCTTTCTCCCAGCTGAAATACGCAGATATGCGTCCTGCAGACGACTGCCGCGAACCCCCGATTGGGCAGACTTTCCCTTGTAATTGCGTTGAAGACACCATTCCAACTACTTGTTGCGACATATATTGTCACGAACATGTTAAGGCAGAGGTCATGCTACGTGTTCTTAAGAGTCTTAAAGGAGTCTCAACGCTAAGCAGTTTCTACTTAAGAGTAGAAATTCGCAACAAGCGATGCATCAACAGACGATCAGAAGATCGAACAAAAAGAAATGTCAATCAATGCTTGTGGGCATTTGTACTGTACCTAAACCCTAAATCCCAAACCCTAAATCCTAAAACCCTAAACCCTAAAGGTTTCTGAAGCACGGCAATCTGCATCTTTGGCTGCAGTCTTAGCAGCTTCAGGAGCTGTACATTGGTTTAGGGTTTTTACGGTTTAGGGCTTTTGGGGTTCAGGGTTTGTTCCGGGCGAGAGAAGCCTGCTGCAAAAAAGGGTTTAGGGCTTAGGGGCACAAGTCCTGATGCAAAAAGGGGCTTAGGGGTTTAGAGTTTAAGCTTTATGGTTTGGGATGGTTTGGGGAGTGCTGAGCTATGCTTCGGGTGCCACTTTGTTCGTCCGCTATGTGGTGCAATGGCCCCAAGAAGATCAAGCGTCAGTAATGCGACGACAACGACAACAAGAGCAATAATCTTCCCATTAGCTGCAAGGCTACCTAGTCGGATTGATGCTGAATGCCCCTAGACAGCGAACAGAATCATCAAGCAGAAACCATAGCAGGCACCCCTACGGCCCCACATCTCAGAGCCATGACTCCTATTCGGAAGAAAATAGTTACCCCTTTAGCATGTACGGTTTGGGGTCTGGTCTCGGCCGCTACATGTTGACACCTCACGAGCTTCAGGTCTTTGTATCTTCGCAGCCGTATCACTCAACTACACATGTTTGGCAGAAATTTGCTACAGCGGGACGTGTGCTCTATAGCCCAGAAGTTCTTCAATGCCAGACCACGCCTTCGATCTTCATGCTCAGGGCGAGCAAAGACTTCCATCGTCCTTGGCTGAAGTTTGATGGGTTTCCATGAGTGGAGGTCCTTTATAGTAGGCATCAAGTTTGTATCAGGAACCCTGCGCATGCACGAACAAAGCAAGCAGTACACCGAGAGGACTCCTGTCCTGTTTGGCGATGCTCGCATGCAAGCGGTAGATCTGACTGGTCCGGTAGTTGACGTTCATGGCGTCGTGCAGATGGTGTCGATGCTGTCGCATTCCAGATACCTGTTGCGGCGTGGACCTTCATAATCTTTTTGCATACAGCTTCTTGGCTGCCACAAAGCCCTGCCACAGCCCAAGCTCGCATGCTCACGCTACATGATGTACTCAAAGGTACGACCAAGTACATTGTCATCCGTGATGCCCGGCTTGGCCTCGCACTTGGGCCCTCGAAGACTCAATCCGGCATGCGCCAGTTGTACGACAGTGTGGTGAATGTTAGCTTAGATGACTCCGAGGCTTGCTACACTACACGCTGATGTTCTTCATTGTCGTGTACATACTGGTCTACCAGCTTATCGGCAACTTAGGCCACGGCCACGGGTTCTCGTGACCAAAAATTGGGTCACTGTCCTGCAGTATTGCCTGCGCAGGATACCTCAAGTTTAATGATGCGCAGAACACGGTGCGGCTGACACTGCAAGAGCCAACTGCCGGATGCAACCCAAATGATACAGGTTGCAAGGCCGGTCTGCATGTTTTGACGGCACTGCCTTTCGTCTCAGTGCAGCTTGCTGTTGCCTGCATCGTTGTGAGGACAGCTTCGCACCGCTGAGCCATCTCCCATACTGCTGTGCGCAGAACTCCAGCTGCAAGACCAACGACGACGGCTCATGCTCGCTTCTCGTTCAGACTGGAGCCTGCACAAGTGTTTTCGTAGAAGTCAGGTAAAGGGCATTGCGGGCGCCGCGCATTTGCAAGACCGGGAGGGTCTGGAGCAATACGCGTTGCGGATGACTTCAGCTTAAAAGTATATTTTTTTGATCTACTATAGTCGACCTGGCCGCACCATACGGAGCACCCGTACAATAACAAAGCTGACATGAGTGACGCACCCGACCCGAATGCATTCACCCATAGCTTTCTGCAATGCAGGTTCAAACCTCGACGCCCGTTGTGCTGAATGCCCCCTGAGCTACCTTCCCGCCCTCAACAAGAAGCCTTTTCGTGCGCGTTTCTTTCAACACGACATCATGAGTTCGGCGGCTGAGGTCGGTAGCGCAAGGTTGGGGCATGTCTACACTAGTAAGTGGTGCAATGCTATGCAATCCGAAAGTTCCGACTTCTTGCATGGTTTCGGTATCCTACCCTCATCAGCAACAAAATCAAGTTACTAGATCGCTTTACATCCTATTTGGAAGCATTGAGGTCACACACGGTTCTTGACAACAATTGATAAACAGAGCAAGCAGCATTGCTGCTGTCATTGAGGATTCCGTTTTAAGTAGTGCCGTAGTAAGTTGCGCATAGTCCACCACTGAATTACGGGACGGGGGCATTTGAGTCAGGTGCGATTATCGACCTGCGTTCAAGGACCGCGATTTTTCAGATTCGGCTCGTGGAACATTTGCATTAGGCAGTTTGTCGGGCCCTTTACGGTTTCCGAAATGAGGTGTAAGTCATTTTAGCTTTTGTAGTTTCGTCGTGTTTGGATATCCGTGTTGGTTCTCGGGAAGGGGTCTTCATCAATACAGGATACTGTTTACCATATGTGATACAGCAGTGCTGCCCCGCCCTCCTCCCCCGCCCGAAGGTGTCCCCGGCCGGGGCGCGGCGCCTGTGGGCTTGGGTTCTTGATCTCGAGTCTCCCCCATCCTGCCATGCTGTGCGTGCTGCTGGGCAGTTAGCTGACTAGGATAGGGGGGTAGTGTGCTCTACAGAGGTATTTGTCAGAAGTAATGTCATCGTTATGGTGCTTGTTACGATATCAGAGGATGTGATGTTGCCCTTGTCTCCTGGCAAATGGTGCCCCTGTCCTTGCGCTGGTGCGGTTTTCCCCTCTGTGCAGAAGCACTTTCCTTCGCGCGACACCCGTCGCCTCCGTCGTCCTCCCGCAAGTGTTTTCAGCCTTCCCGTTGTTTCTGCCTAGGATCGCGGAGCAAGAAGCCAAGGTAAGATGGGGGCCGCAATAGTTGGTGATAGTATCGCTTTAATTTCTAATTATGCACACCGATATTCAGCCCAAGAGACTTGTAAGTGAGGGCCCCCACATGTCGAAGGATTACAACTGCACCTGGATGTCGGGAACATCTGCGGCCGCTATACGTGAGAGCTCCATCGTAGTCTCGACATTTACACATGCAGCACGGCGGCAGTTTACTCGCTCGGACATCAACTGACTTGCACGAATGTCAGATGAAAGCATGCCTGCTATGCTTCAATTCCATCATAGTTGGTTATCGTCAGGCGCTTTTGTAACCTGTTAGACATTTAGTCTTCCTGTGTTTCCCAGCGCCGTCTATGATACGTCTCGTTTCTGCTACATCGGCCGACGACTTTTGTTGAGGCAGCTGTAATCTGCCATGCGGCACAAGCTCAGCAGTCTAATGCCTGCTTCAGTTCTACGATTCGTTCTGAGATTTGCCCATTCCCCCTTGAGGTTGTTCTTCAATCTCACTGTGCTGGTGTCGACTGCTGAGGTATCAGTTTTTCCGGATTACTGTCTTCAGTGTAAAGATGGCCGATGTCAACAGCTGCAGTAATGCCGCTTCAGCATCACCATCACCAACATCAACATGGCAATGATTACCACCATGAGCATCCCCAATGATCGTTATCGCCTTCGTGTCGGATGTCACGTGTGGTGGCTGCATATTCATGTTCCTCCTTCGTCACGCTCGTCTTCGTTGCCATTACAGTGGGCCCTGCAACCACCATGGTATCATCAAGCGTCTTCCTGCGTTTACCGCTTCCCTGTTCTCCCCAAGCCGCACCATTGTCAGGAATACACCATGACTCTGAACACGAGCTGCTTCACTTCATACCCAGCTGCTGCTGAAAGCTGCGATGAGTTGTATATTGTGCAGGAGAAGGCTGTGGGCTTGGACTTCAGAATCTTTGGGATCTGAGGCGGATGATTCGCATCTTTGGTTTAGGTGCTTGGCGGTTCAGGGGTCAATATTCGGCCGGAAAAACGAAGAGAGAAAGAGAGAGAGAGAGAGTCCCTTCAAAGCCCCATGACACGTGGGGGACCAATAGGCCGGGGGACCTCGACGATCCCCTAAGCCCTGTGGAAGAAGAGAGAAAGAGAGAGAGAGAGAGAGAGAGAGAGAAAAAAAAAACATGAGACACAAAACCAACGGGAGAGATCCAGAGAAAGAGAGAGAGCGAGAGAGCGCGAGAGAGAGAGAGAGAGACGGACGACAGAGAGTGAGAGAGAGCGAGAGCGAGAGAGAGAGAGAGAGGGAGCGAGAGAGCGAGCGAGGGAGCAGAAAGAGAGAGAGAGAGAGAGGGAGAGAACAGTAAGGGGCCACGAGGAGGAAGCAGAGCGAGGGGCTGGAATTCCAAGATGTGAGGGTTTAGGGTTTAGGGTTTAGGGTTTAGGGTTTAGGGAGAGCTTCGAGATCACCTTGACCTTGTCAGCAGGTTGGAATTACGCTCCTCAACCCATGTCGAGACTGACTCAAACCATCCCAAACTTCGTGCTTTTCCGCTGAAGGGTGTGTTTCAGCCATTTTTTTTCGCGGGGGGCAGGCTTTTCAAGAGGATCCTCCATGATCCAGCGGTTTACTTGCCAGATGTGCCCACATTCTGAGTTGGGCCCTCAGGGTCCTTTGTTTTTTCTCAGGCTCTACCTCAAGAACCCAAAACCCATTTTTTTGTAGGTTCTTATTATAAACCGTAATATGGGATTTATAGGGACCCTACAAAAAAGTAGGTTTTGGGTTCTTAAGGTAAACCCTCAACCCTAAACCCTAAACCCCTAAACCCTAAACCCTAAACCCTAAACCCTAAACCCTAAACCCTGAACCCTTAACCCTTAACCCTTAACCCTAAACCCTAAACCCTTAACCCTTAACCCTA